AGAGGGACTGTCACTGGCCGGCTAATAAAGGCTTTCTCTAAACCTGATTCAGACTCAAGTCTGTGTCTAGGGGGAGTCTCTCCAAGATTTTTTGGAGGCCCCTGAGAGATTGCTTCCTAGCACATGTCATGTCAGCCTTCTCCCTGAAGGGTTTTAGGCACCCTCCGAGGGAATGAGGGAATGCGAGACTAAAAACGTGCCTTTCAATTTGCAATCTTGCTCCTTGACTCTTGGTGTCCTCCAGAGGTGAGTTTGTGTTCGAGAGCTCTCTTGTATTGGGGACTTACGGGAAGGCTGGATGCAGCATTACTTCCAGACGATAATGAGGCATTTACCTCTTGTGGCAAGAAGACACTCTTGGGCCTTCTGTGGTTCTACTGATCCATCAGCTGACCAGTTGGTTATTATCTGTGTCAGTGTGGCCACTTGTCTCCATCAGACAAGGGAGAGGCTGATCACCTCACAGGGAGACCTCGAGAGTCTCCTTTTGGTTTTGGTTGGGAACCTTGGAACTCCCAGAAAGCAGGGATGGTTATAACCTCTGGGGTGTGTGTGTTTGTGTCTGTGAGAGAGAAAGAGAGAGAGAGAGAAAGAGAAATCTCCTTAGCTGTAGCTATACAGACAGATTGGGCTTTACCTGTGGTTCTGTCCACAAGTCATATGGCTGATCGGTGACTGGACTTGTCAAAATCTCTGAGAGGAGGATGGCCAGGAAAGTGTCTGTGTCCTCCCCCTTGCCTTGCTGCAACATCAAATACAATGGGAGGGAATTGGAGCAAATAGATGGTCCTCAAGACCATGCTAAAAAAGGCGGGGGGGGGGTACTGATAGGGAATTTTCTGCCTCACTTTCTTTAGAACCTGAGGGGCATTCTTACAAATATAACTTGAAAAATGTTTTCTTATCTGAAGGAGGTAGTTTTAAAAAAATATTAAAAAATTAAATTAATAATTGTTGCCAGTGTGGTCAGAAATACTGGTAAAATAACTATCTCTTTAAAATTAGTGCAAATGGCCAAAATTCTAAATGAAAGAGATCTCTGTGTCTGTGGTCATTGCCATTGTGTCTTTGTCTCTGGAGGGTTGCTGTGTTAAAATTATTATAAATGGTGCCTCTATAAATTCTAATAGAAAAGAACACAAACTTTGAGATTGCAATCTAAAAATTTTGGTAGACATAAATTAGTTCAAAATGTAATGGTTTCAATTGTATGGGGAATATAACAATAAAATTAAAAAAAAAAACCAAAATGTAATGGTTTAATTAAAGCATGCATGTCTTAAATTTATAATGTTGGGAGTTAATAGTTCTATTGTATGTTTAAATGTGTTTATTTGGGGAAAAAACAACTTGGAGTAGCCAAAAAAGAGTTATTAACCTGGTCTATGTTAAGAGAGATTAATGTGAATAAATGTGGTTTTGTTTATACCTGGACTTCTTTTGATAAAATTCTTTTCTAAAAGACTAACTCACTACCTTTGTTCCCCAGGTATGTACCTTATTTGATTTTTCCTTCCCTGTCCTAGCCAAAAATCCTCTGGTATATGAAATTGCTTTATTTGTAACTCTGAACTTCCTATCCTAAGAAAAACTATAGATACAGTTGGTATCTCTATCTTAAATCTGTTCTTTTTATCATTGAAATGGTGGTATATTTCTCCTATGAACTAAGGGTCTACTAAGTTTAATAATGACAATTTGTTGACTACTTCATGAGCTTTGGTGTATTTTGCTTCTTATTGTAGGAAAAACTACACTTTATTGTCATCTCACCTAAAAAATTAAAACATGTATGAGTTATTACAATGAGTTATTATGAGTTATTACAATGTCTTAAAATGTGAGGCTGACCTGTTAATTAGCTGGAGTTATTTTGGGACAAGGCCTTGGTGTTGACTAAAAGTTTCAGGGAGTGACTGATGGACTTTCTCTGGCCAAGCACCTGACTTGTGTGCCCTGGATGATCGGATGACCTCTTGGGAGTCTCCTGCTTCTATACTCCATGCTTGCTTTACAGTGTGAATGTGCCCCTGCTGGGACAATGGATGCTCTGTTGCCTAATTACTTGGGGGGCTCAGACTTTGGAAAAAGATCTCCTCTGGGCCTGCGGGCATAAATAAAGATAAAATTCTACCATAACAGTCTACAAGCTAAAAATTAAAAACTAAAGTGTTGTAACTCTAAATGCAAATAAAGTGAGGTGTGTTTAAATATGTATTTAAAAACACATATGTTAAAGGTCCTGGAAAATTTAGTGTCAAACAAAATGGCTATCATTGAAAAAAAAAAGTACAAAATAAAATAGAAGAAAAAAAAAAAGTGTTGAAAGGTCTGAGAGAGGTATCTTAAGAAAATGCTATGTACCAGAATGACTTGCTTTAAAAATAATTTAAGTTTATTATCAGTAGTGTACTTATGAACAACCAAACCTTAATCTTTTTTCATTTGCAGTAAAGACTCAAGTATCCTTAAACTGCTTTTACTAGCTCTTGATGACAAATTAAAAACAGTTTAGGCTATCTAAAATCTTGGTTCTCTGTTACCCTCAGACTTGGTTAACTGAAAAATATAGTCCTTTCAGCATTGTTGAGCACAGTAAAAATATATCTTTTTTTTTTTCCATTTGAGTGTTTTTTGTAGGAGTCCAGCTCCAGCCATGATAGGTTTCACGAAGGAAAAGACGGCGTCAGCGAAATGAGGAGACACAGACACTTGATCAGGGTGTAAGCATCTCCTACTGATAGCCTCAGCTGAGCTTTATTTATACATTAGAAAATTTTCTGTTTCATGACATGAGTTTCTGTGGTTACATTTTCTTTGAATTAACTTAACTCATTAATTAACAAAAAGCGCACTGTACTTTTACTTTTCCTAGTTCTGGTCAACTTGACCTTATTATTGTTGCTACAACCTTAACAATTCAAGAAAGAGAACCAAAGGTGCTAGCCAGAGCTTGACCTACATGATTATATGAATATAATAATATCAAGCTGTGCAAGCATTCTTAAACCTCAAACTAGTGTTGTTACTATGTTTAGGTTACATACCTGGATAATGTTTGTTTTTTGAAGTTTCTATGCCAGCTACTGACACCTGGGGCCCTGCCCCTTTTACTTTGTCGAAGCAGTTGTTCCATCTTGTAGTGTGTCTTCATTTTTTGTCTTTGCTCCAGCACTTGTAAGGGGGGGCCAATCTCCTTATTCTTCCCAGAAAGAATAAGGCTATTAATCAAAAAGGAAAGGTGGAGTGGGACTAGGAGTAGAAGTAGAAAGATTCATTTTGCTCATAGACTTGCCCCAAGTGGGATACCATAAACGGCCCCCAATTTTATATGCAGAGCCAAAAGTTCCCACAACTGGGGGAACAATGTTAGCCTTTTCTTTTATTGGGTCCCTCCATTTTAGAGGTGCCTTAGGACTTTCCACAGGGGTGTCTTTACCGAGCTTTGTTCCAATAGTTCTTTAAATGTAATTTATTATAGATTTCAGCATTACTCATGGTGGATGAATTGTGAGTGGAGGATATTGGGAAATATTGGAATTGGTCTCATTATTAATTATGT